TTTTTGTACTGGGGATGGAATTCAGGGTCCTTGCGTTTTCGAGGCAGGTGGTGGAACCACTGAGCTAAATCCTCAGCCCCCTCTGCACAGATTTTGATGTCTCTGTGGTACTTACCCATCTCTCTTTTCAGATATGAGGTGTTGGGGACACTTGGGTATTGGAGCACAGCGAGTCACTCCTCTGAACTGTTTTGAGCCAGTGTCTCTGTGAACAAGTCTTATTGTGATGCTGTGGGTTTTGTCCTAGGGTTGGTTTTGCTGAGCAGCTTCAGGATGTGTTCCCAGAGTATGATGGCTTTTATTGTGTCGTGCGTATAAGGTGCATCACCCTGTGTCTGATTGGAAGATCTCAGATTTCTGTACTCCTTGGTGTTGAGGATCCTCAACTGTTGGGTTACATTTCCAAGAGTAAGGCACTTCCCATTGGGGGAGTCTTGATCCTAGGGTATGAAGTGTCTGACTTATTGGGGACCTCTTTCCAGGGTTTGAGGTTCTGTTACCAGTTTCTGGTGTTTCTGTGTTTGGGGTGTCTGTGCCCCGGGGCCTTTATAGTTTGTCAACTCTGAGCATTTTGGCACTGTACACCTGCTGTGTGAGGGCCAACTGTCCAGGTCGCAAGGTTAACTCTGGGAGTTTGTGTACCATCGTGAGGTGCCTGAGCCATGTGGGCATGTGTAACTGGGCTGTGATGTCTTGGGTGTTCCAGGTCTGTCTCAGGTTAGAAGTTCTCTGAGCCTGTGTGTGTGATTTGAGGTCCATACACTGTTTTGAGTCGTGTCTCAGTTATGGGACCAACTTTGCACAGAATGTGATGTTTCGGAGTTGTCTCAGGATCTGTGTCCATGACTGTCAGGGATCAGAAATCCTTCCAGATGTGAACACAAAGTACAAGTTCCAGGAATGGTTTGGGAGGCTAAGCTAGGATGTTATATTTTGGAATCACCTGGACGTTATGGGTTAAGAATGGCACACTGGGGAAGCTGAGGCAAGAGAATTGCCAGGAGTTCCAGGCCAGATGAGGTTACATAGTGATTACAAGGCCAGTCTATGTCATGAGACCCTGTTTCAAAAAGAATAAAAAAATAAATATGGGACGATTCTGAACTGTTTGAGTATCTAAGCCAAGGATACGAGGTTTCTAAGCTGTTTAAGGTTTGTGTCCAGGCTGTGTGAACAGAGTTACACAGGAGCTATATCACAGCATAAGGGTGTGAGATGTCAAAACTGTGTAGAGGGTCTTTGTCCATATTTTCATCTCTGACCTCTTCTGTGAACCAGGAGTGTGAGGCTTAAAAAACAAAAAACAAAATAAAACAAACAAACAAACAAAAACTGGGGATGGAACCTAGGATCTTTGCACTGAACTAAATCCTTAGCACTTTTTTAAATTCTTTGAGAGAGGGGGTCTTGCTAAGTCACTAAGTTGTCCAGGCTGGGCTCAAACTTGCAGTCCTCCTGCCTCAGCCTCCCAGAGTGTTGGTATTATAGGCATATGCCACCATACCTAGCTGAGTCTGTGGCCTTTGAGCTGTTTGGGGAGCTATGTCTAAAAGCTGTGAGGCATGTTTTGGACATCTCAACAGGGAACTCATATCTAGGGCGTGAGGTCTTAGCTTAGGTCGGTATTCCAGCACACGTTTTGCAGCTCTCTCTTAGCAGTGTACACAGGGCATGAGGTCTCTGAGCTCTCTGGTAGCCTGTGAGACCTCTGAACTACTTGTCCATCTTCATCTCCGTTTGTGAATTCTCTGAGAAAGCGGTAAGGCTTTACCCAAACTGTGAAGTCTCTGAACTTCGTGGGGGGCCCTTTACTGAGATTGCCAGGACCTGAAGGAGGCTGTGGAGTGTCCCAACTCCTAACTATTCAGGGTTCTGTATCAAAAGGTTCCTAAGCTTCATATAGATTGGTTCCCCAGGGTATGAATTCTGAATAGTGTTTCCAGGCTGAGATCTCTAAATTTTTGGGATCTGTGTCTAAGTCCGAGTTGTGGCACTAGGTTCTAGAAAGTTGGTTTTCTGGGATGTTTATAGGTATCTCTGAGTAATTTGGGAGGGTGTTCAAAGTATGAGGTTTCAGAACTATTTAGGGAGCCAGGAATGGTGACACTTGCCTGTAGTCCTGCTACTTGGGTGGCTGGGACAGGTGGATTGTTTGAGCTCGAGTTCAAGACCAGCCTGGGCAACAAAATGTGACAAAACAAAAAACATTTACGGATCTACGTTCAGGCTATGAGATCTCTTGGCTATTTGAGCAGTGACATCTCAGCCACTTGGGGCCTGTCCCAGCATGTGGAAGGCAGTGATTAGGACGTGAAGGCTCCAAGTAGTTTGAGAAGTGACATCTCAGGTCATGAGGCTTTTGAGTTGGTTGCTCATCTCTGTCACAGAAGACAGACGATCCCCATGTTTGGGTTCTGCATCCCTGTATGTGAGGGCTCAGCCTAGGTTTCCTGAGGCCTGAGCCTGGGTGTGCTAGCTCTAAGCTATCTGGAGGTGGGTACCCCAGGGTTTGAGGAGCTATTTGGGGGCCGGTGTCCTAAGTGCCCAGTATATGAGGTCTCTGGGCTGTCTGGGACTCCATCACCTGTGTGGAAGTTTTCTCTTTTGAATGTAGTAGGCAGGTTTTATGTTTGAAGCTTGTGTGTGTATGCACGTGCTGGAAATCAAACTCAGGACCTTGTGCTTGCGAGGGAGACACTGTGCCACTGAGCTACATCCCTGACCCTATGTTTAAAGCTTCTAAGAGCTCAAATTTTAGCACATTTCATCACCACCATATTTACTTGTGGGCTAGTTTTTGTTTATGGTGATAATTGTTTATCCACTCAAGACACCATTGGGTTGAGTTTGCTTTTTAAGTGCATGTCAATATGAACATACAAAGCTAGTTTATTTTAGGTCAAGATATTTTGTAGATGGTAAAGTGGGATGCCGTAAGGGTCCAAAGTGGAGGGGTTAGTCAGGTGGCTGAGGCTTGAGCCTGGGCAACTTTAGCTCTTCACCTCTTATCCTCCTTCCCCACCCCTCCCCATCCCCCACACCTGGGTCTGTTCAGTCAACACGCAGTTTATTGGTGCCCATTCCAGGCTGGGTAGGGCTGAGGGGTTTACAAGAGGAGAACCAGCTTCAGCCCATGCCTGAAGGTCAGCCCGGGGGACAAGGGCAGAACAGACATACAGACACATGGATCTGGCTTCTGGTAACAGGCACACAGTCTCTCGGAGGGGCACTGTGGGCACAGGTAGTCAGGACAGGCTTCCTAGAGACTTCCCAGGACTAGGGGAGCAGGGGGGGGCGAGACTTCACCTTCTGTACATTTCAAGACAGTTAAGTTTTGAGTCCAGTAGGACCAGGGTGAATGCAGAGGGCTGGAGGCTGGCCAGGAGGGGCTTCCTTCTTGCCCCACCATATCCTGGTGGGCAAGCTCCCCGCATCATTCATGGCTTATACAGTAAGTCCTTGACTTCTTAAAACAAGTTCTGTGAGATTGTTCATTAAGTCAGGTTCCCTTGTAATACAACAAAGTGAGTCTTATACAGTACACCTGTGAAAGTTCATAACTCAATTACTAAGTTGGGGACTTACTGTAGAGTACTTTGCCTTCTGCCACATGGGCCTTTTCCTGGGAACCACCTCTGTAGTTTTCAAGACTTCCCTGAGACAATCCTGGGGACCAGGTGCTCTACCCAGTGCCTGGCACCTCACCAACTTCTAACCAACACAAATCACTGTCCTAAGTGCTATCTACAACTATCTGGGTCTTAGTTCCAGCTCAAATGGCCCCAGCAGTTATCACACCCAAGGGCAGGGTTCTCAGTACCCTTGGCACTCGAGGGCTCAGGATACCCTCTCTGTGCTCCCTGCAAGCAGAGCTTGGGCCTTGCCCACTTCCGGGCTGATGGGCAGGACTACCTTCCTCTCACTGCTCAGTGGGCCTTAGGCACCCACCCCCCTTCCAGTGGCAAATGGCACCCGCTTCTCAGATGGGCAGTCCTGACAGAGCCTCCACGGGTCTTACTGCCAGTACCAACCAGCCTCAGTCCCCAACCCAGGAGACCTCCATTTCCATCATTAGTACAAAGGCTTTTGTAGTTGGGACAACCAGCTTTGCTGCAGCTGGGAATTCTCCCCTAAGAAGTCTGCCTTCCCTGGGGTTGCTCTCTTATACCCTTGGGGTTGGAGGGAGGCCTGCAGCAGGGCCCTCAGGCTCCAGGCAGAAGCAGGTACAAAAACAAACATCTTTTTATTCTGGCCCTGGGCTGAGTCTTCACCCCCTGGACCTCCACAGTAGGCCCCAATCCTAACTGCAAGAAATCTTATTGTGATCGATGTACTCTGAAGGTGGGTGAGGGTTTGTAAGTGCAACCCACAGAGGGGATGGAACACAGAAAGAGGACTCCTGGACTCAGTTTTCAACGAAGCCTTGACCCTGGAGCAGGTGGGGGCAGGTGGAGGCAGGTGAGAGGGCCGGGCAGTCACTCCCCAACAGGAGGGCAGCGGTGGGGGAAGGGCAGGTGACGTCAGGCCCCCTCAGTCAGTCTGGCTTCAGACTTCTCAAGACTAGAAGAGGTATTTGCGGCAGGACTCAGTCCCACACTTGCATTCAATACGGACCCGCTTCTTAGGGGAGCCGGGGAGCCCAGCCAGGCCAAAGTTGGAGTCCATGCGGGTACTTTCCATGTCCACGGGGTCCACTGTGGAGTCACAGTCAGGGAGCGGGGAGGGGGAAGGAGGGAGAGGACTTGTTAGAAGACTTGGAGGAAGTGTCCTGCCACCCTTTACACCAGGAGACCCAGAGATCTTGGGGGCTGGGAGTAGGCCTGACGCCTGAGTTAGGAGGAAAGTGAGTGATGCTGCTGGGGAGCGTGCATCACCAGAGGGGTGTTCAGACCACAGGTTGAGGGCTCCTGGGGAAGTCAGGGAACCAGAAGGGTCAAGTGCAGGTCAGGAATAGAGGGCCACCTAGGCATCTAGAGGCGCAGCTGAACTCTCCTGTATGAGATCCACCCTCAGTGCCTGAGACATGACTGGTTTGTCAAAGCAGGCACTGGGTGGAGGTCACAAGGGTGCCCAGGGGCTCAGAATGGGGAAGCCCATAGGGAGCTGGAGTGAGGAGGGCCTGGGGCAGTTCAGTTCAGATGGAGCCCAGAGGGCCTTCGCTCTCTAGCAGCCAAACACCTGCCCCCAGGAGCCCTGAGAAGCTAATGTGAGTAGCTCAGGGTTGGGGTTCCGGGGTTGGGAATGTGGGCAGAAGTCCTGGAGCCCAGACAGGAGGGTGGGAGTCAGGAGGAGCACCTTAAAGCTCCAGATGGAGTTGGCCTTGAATCTGAGTGACCAGGGTGCCTTGGGGTGGGGTCCTCACATCCCACATCACGGTTTGCCCCTGTTCCTGGGCCCTTGCCACCCCCACCTTGCATGTTGTAATCAAAGGTGAGCTCCTCGCCTGCCCGGATGGTTCTTGTGGCAAAGAAAGCGATGCGGGGCAGCCGCTCGTCAAGGTTATCTATGAAGACGTTGTATACCTGCAGGTTGGGGTCACACTAGGCAACAACAACAACAAAAAAAAACAGTACAATAGTGAGGAGGGGCCCTGGCCCGCCCCTCCCAACCCCCTGCCAGCCTGCCAGGGGTACCCACACTATGGTTGACAAAGTGGGAGATGTTGCCATAATAGGCGGCATCCACAGTATACACGTCCTCCACATAGTCCAGGTCAAAGAGGTAGGTGGCACCTTGACGGTCGTAGATCTGGCCCCGCCGCTCTGCCTCCTCTGAGGTAATGATCTGGGGAAAGGAGAAGGGGACAGGTCACAAAGGCTCAGGAAAGCCAGCACTACTTCCAACCTTGGTCTGTCCCCAGGGAAGAGAAATGGGAGCAGGAGGAACCCCTTCCCCATGGACATATGGGGACAGCGACGCATATGGTCTGTCAGCCTTTTCAGGGGATTGCCCTCCACCTATCCCTCCCCACTAAGGCCTATGAGTGGCAGGAGTCTCGAAACAGGAGGAGGCTGGCTGTAGTTACAATGAAAGGAAGGGGAAACCCCACCTCCTGCTGCCCTGTGAGACTGCCTGAGATGTTCCACAGCCTCTTGTGCTCTTGGGACAGAGCAGGAAGGGAAAGAGACAGACTGACACACACAGAGACAGAGATAAAGGCCTTGAGGAATAGCAAAAAAAGAATGAGAGCCAGGGCACCACTGGGAGAAAGACAGGGAAAGACTGAGCCAGGGTGAGAGCTGGAGCCAGCCAGAGTCTGAAATAACACAGCCAGAGACTAATGAAGAGCTAGAGCAGAGACCAGGTTAGAAACAAATCTTGCTATGGAAGTTCAGTCCAGAGACCAAGAGCCCTGAGGCTGCGATGGCCAGAAAGAGGCTGAGGCCAAAAGCTTGAGACAGAATGACAGAGAAAGGAGGGCAGAGCAAGAGTATGAGTGAAAGAAAAGAAACCAAAGGGGAGAGAGAAGCCCTCCCTTGGTGCCACCTCTGGGGCCGGAGGCAGCACAGACACCTCCCATGTCCCCCCACCATCCTAGTAAATGTGAAGCTGCTCCACCATCCCAACCATGACCTATCCTTGTCCCCCAAATGCTGTTGATGGGCTTCACCCCACAGATCTTTTCGCTGGCCCTGTGTCCCCTCTTCCTCCAGGGACCAACAACTATAGCCTCTGGCAATGACTAAGTATGGCTGACCACACCCTTCTCTAGGCGAAGGTCCCACTGTGCACAAGGCTGCTTCCTGCTAACCCAGGATGGCCCCACTCTCAGGCCTCCTTCCACCCCTTTGCCAAGCCCTTAGAGACAAGTGCTAGAACAGTGCACAGCCCAGAGGTGCCATACTTGCCCTCTCTGCAGCCCAACATCCACTGTCTCCCTCATCCCTTCTTCCTTCCCTTTCCCTGTCACATGGCCCACCCTCTCGTCCCACTGTCAACAAGGGATATAAACCCAAGACCCAGCTAGGATGCTCTCCTCAGGCCCCAGAACCACACTCTTCCAATTTTCAAATCCATCCCCTTCCAGGCTTAATCACCCTGTGTTATCTACTCAAAAGGGCCACACAGGTCCTCACCTGCCTGCCTCTGCTACCATCACCTCTAGCCTATGCTCTGTGCCAAGTGATGATCAGCAGTACCTTTATGGAACCCAGATTTACCCCTGGCTATAGTGCTTACTACTCCAGCTCCAGTCCTAGAGGAACATAGCTCCTCCATACCTGATTTATTTATTCATTTATTTGGTGAATGTATTTGTTCTTGCTGTGAGAGGAATAGAACCTAGGGCCTCACACATGCTAAACACATGTTCTGCCACTGAGCTACACACCCCCAACCCATTCTGTGGATTTGTCTTGAGGATTGAGGCCTACCTTTCGCCTGGTCTCAACTTGCAGGGTTCACAGTTCGGTGGGGAGAGACAGGACAGGCCTGGCCCTTACCCTCAGGGATCATAGAGATGTCGGAGTTGGAGTCAGACACCCACAGTGCAAGATGCTAATCAGAAAACACAATGCTTAGAAGGAATTTGAGGGGGAATACAAGAGATAATAGCATCTAAAGCAAGCTGGAGGTCATAAAAGGCCACCAGCCAAAGAGCAGAGGCCCTCTCCTAGGAAGAGCCACAGGAGCATCCTGAGGTGGCGTATGTTGAGGCCAATCTCCTTCTAGCTCTTGGAGAACACACTACCTCGTGGTATTAGCTCAGCCAGATGGTACTGCTCTGAGCTTCTGCCTTTCCAGCCCACCTCAGAAGCCCTGCAATCAGAGGGCGGCTGCTCCGATCATCAGTGTGAGGATTCACATCTGAGCCATCTTTCTAAGTGGAACCCTCCCCATGCCAGGGGTAGGCCCACATCCTCCCGCTCCATCTTCCAGTCTGTTCTGCCCCTACCTGCTCCCCCAGTCTCACCTGGAGTGAGTCATTCCACAAGCCCTCCAGGGCACAAACGGTTCCTTCCCTTTTGCCTTCCTTTCAGTCCCACTCTGAAATGGGTGGTCTACCCTGAAGACCTGGGAACAAATCCCTGTGCCTTAGCAGTGCTGCAGACATTTGGGGGGGACAGCCGAAACAGGAACTAGAAGCCTCAGGGGAAGCTGCTACTCTGCCCCTCCTGGATGTGAGATCCTGAATGTTCTTTCTCTGTGCCCGTTTCCTCAACCAAAAAATAATAAGGCCAACAGGCCTGGCAGAGCAGCAGTTTTAGACACTTGGGCTTCCCCCACCCCATTTTACTAGCTTTGTGACTCTGAGCAAGTGATTACATTTCTTTGGACCTGTTTTCTCATCTGTAGAATGGGAATTTCAGTGACAGAAGTCCAACCTGACAGGGGCTGTTGTAAAATCCCAAGGAGCTCATCAATGCAGAAAGTGTTCTTGTTTTGGTTAGGAACAGAGCAATGTAATGAGTGGTCATGCTGGATCTTGTTGAAATCTGGGATGCACCCTTATGTATGTAGTTACCCTTTACCAAGAGAGGAAAACTGCTAATTAAATATATTACCACCTAAGAACACCAATTAAGATCTCCTTCATTTCAGAGATGGTAAAATGTGAAGAGAACATGTGTTTCAGAATGGATAAAGCAGGCCAGTATTCTCTGCTGGGTGAGATAGAAACGTTCTGCAAAAACATAAAAGTTCAAATGTGAAAGGGTACAAGGAGCAAAAGGCTGCACAGGTGGCAGGAACTGTCACTGCAGACTGTCAGTGTCTCCGAGGGGGGAAGGACAGTGTGGCATCTAGGTATGGGGAGTACGCCCTCAATTATATAACACCTTGGAAGCGTGTGGGACAGCACCATATAATCAAGTAAATTAGTATTTTTGAGATGAAATATGTGAATATTCATCCTAAGAAAGACTACAAATAGGCCCATAATCAGGTTAGGACAGGGTTTACAGACAGCTGGGTACCAAAAAAACCTTTCACTTTCTGAGCACTTGGACTTTCTGACTTTTGGACAGTAATGTTTAGCACTTACCTGAGACTTACTCTGGAGTGCACTGTTCAAGTGCTTCTTCCAAGTGTTTCCCACGAAGTAAATGCTTCTAACTAGCTTAGGAGGCAGGTGCTGTTATTGCTTCCATTTGCCAGATGAGGAAATGGAGACACAGAGAGGTGCAATGACTGCTGCTGAGCAGTGGCACTGGGGTACAAGCTCTGGCAGGCAGGCTATGGGGCCCACGCCACTGCTGGCTACTTGGAAGCCAGGTAGGAAGATGAGTTTGGCTCTGGTAGTGTTTGGAGACCTGTAGCACTATCAGGAGACCCCAGGTCTGAGGGTGCCAGAGCAGGGTCTGGAAGTCACCAAATATGGCAGCAAGAAGGCCAAGAAACAGCATGGAAGAGTAGAAATGGTGAGGAAGGGGTGAGAGGGCCCCATCTTGGAGGAGTATAGACATTAAACCCAAAACTCTGAGGCTGCCTGTGGGCTCTGTAGATGGCCAACATCTCCAGACATCAGGACAATGAGGCCACGCTTCCTGCTTGGGACTGCCGGGGTCCCATGGGGACTGGACACCTTCCCCTTCAAACTGTCAAGAGGCTTCCAGGGTCAGAACACATTGTCTTCTAGATAGGGTCCCTCTGAGGTCTGGCCACTTCCTCTAGCCTGCCAGTGTTCACAGGTATAAATATCACCTCCAAACTCTCCAGATCCCTCTGAGGGTGAGGACACTTCTTTCGCCTGAGCCCAGGATGGTGCAAGTGTGGACACTTCCTAAGTCAGGGCCCTCTGGAGTGCAGAGAGCTTGAGCTCTTCCTCCAGGTCACTGGGTCACTCTGAGATGGGGACATCTTTCCCCGCAGTTCCCCAGGATTTCTTCTCTTGCTGATGTCAGGAACCCTCTGGGTATGGACACCTCCTCTTTCCTCCAGATTGGCTGGACCTCTGGCATGGGGACATTTCCTCTGGCAACCCATCTGGGGTATGGCCATTCCCTCATCCAGATGGCAAGTCCTCTGTTGCAAAGGCTATTCTGCCTCAAAACTGGGCCTGCCTCTCTGGGGTCTAACTCCTTCTGCTCTGTAGTTCTTCAGAGAGGGGACCTCTCATCATCATTGTCATTACTACAGTGTGGACCCCCTCAGGCCACTCTTCATCACTTCCTTACCATATCACACCCCCAAGAAGCCTGTGGAAATATGGAGGTATCTGGGGTTGTCACCAAGAATGAGGCACATTCATAGATTTAGATGGTCATGGTCTACAGATGTTAAATGTCTCCTAAAGGGAGAGGCCATTTTATGTAAGTGAACTGTTCTACTCCAAATGCCCACCACATCCTACCTTAGGATGTGACACTTCCAGTTGCAGACATTTGCCAATTACTCATTCAGACCCCTTCTGTTTTGCACCTGGGCACACAGCTAAAGCACCCCCCTTCCCTTGCACTGCAGTAAAGGCCAGTGACTCAGTGCCAGCAAACAGAGCGTAGGCAGAAGTGATGTGTGCTCTATTCAGGCCTGATCCATTAGAACTCTTCCTTTTGGTCCTCTACTCAGCCTGCCTGCCAGGCAATGCTGAGGATCTGGTGGCGACTCTGAGGCTCTAAAGCACAGAAAGGCACAAGAAGGAGAGAACGTGGGTATCACAGACACTGTGTGAAAGGATGACTCTATGAACACCCACACTGGACTGGTCATGAGTGCACAAGTCCCAACCTGCGAAGTCACTATGATATGGCGGCTCATTCATTACCGTGGAGGCCTGCCTCGTACACCCAGCTCTTCCCCCAGGGTGACTTCAAAGTCTAGAGAAGGTGGGCAACCTTAGTCTAAGCAGGCCTACATCTATTCCAGACTGTAAGATGGCCCTTGTGGGATGAAAAGGGAAGGGAGAGGCCTTTTCAGGTGCTACAACCCTGTGCTCTTGAACCACATGACCTCTGAAGGGATTGCTTCCCACTTCCTTCCTTCCTTTTTTTTTTTTTGGTACTGGGTATCCAACTTGGACACTTGCGCTTGCGAGGCAGGCGGCAGCACCACTGAGCTAAATCCCCGGCCCCCCACTTCCTTTCTTGCTAGGGACCCTTAGGAAACCACCCCAGTCCAGAAATACATCAGTGTTCTTTTAGCCACCAGCATGCTTGTGCTGGTATGTTCCAGCCTGGAATAGTAACCCCTGCCAGGAGATCCCTATGCCACTCAGACCATCCATCCAGACTTCTCCCACAAGGAAAGCAAGGATTTTTCAGGCACGCAGGGCAGAAGCTGAGCACACATGGTAGGAACAGCTGCATAACATGCCAGGTTCCATCTCCCTACCTCTCCCACGTATTCCATGACAAAGCTGTTCTTGCGGATCTTCTCAAGTGTGCGGACACCCCAGCCGCGCCCATCATCTGTGCGGAAGATGCAGAGGTCATAGCAGATGCCCTTCTGTACTACACGGTTGGGGCAGTCATAGCCACAGCGGCAGCGTGAGTTGCACTCATAGATGGGGAGCCCAGCTCGCAGCCGCACCTGGCCCTGGTTGTTATAGGCAAACTTGTGCAGGGATGCTCCAGGGCAGCAGCCTCCAGTGGGTGCCCAAAGACAGTCCTGGCACTCACAGCCCACGGCCACCTGGTTGAGAGTGATACCCTCACCAACTCGGTACTCATTGATGTACACAAATGCCCGTGGGGGACCATCCAGGTCCACCTCATTCTCCACTGTGATGCGTCCCAGGTGGCTCCGCTTGGCATTGAGCTCTTGCTCCCAGCGCTGAAGCGCCCGCCTCTGCTTAGCTTTCTGTACCAGGTAGTTAGCCAAGCTTGGGTCCAGGTGCCGGGGTGGCTTTGACCGGTGGTGCCGCCGGAGCAGCTCCCTTTCTAAGTCTTTGTGGAACTGCTTGAGGATGCGCACACACTTGAGATTCTGCCGTGGCTCCCAGGTGCTCTCTGTGTCAGGGTATCCACGCCACTTTACCAGGTAATACTCTTGTTCCTGTTTGGATGCAGAGGGATGACAGTGTCATAATGATGAAGCCCTTGGGCTAATGGAGAACCCCTACCTTGCCCCACTCCTTTTCTGGAATGCTTAGAAACCATGGGCTCTGGAGACAGAATTCCTAGGTTCAACTCCCACTCTCCCCCTTACTGTCTCTCCAATTTCTACTTTTCATTTGTCTCTCAAACCCACTCTCTCCCATCTTCCTCGGCATCTGCTCCCTCCTAGCTGTTCCAGCCTACACTCCCAGAGTCATCCTTCATTCCTCTTTTGCTCACACTCCCCACGCCCACTCTCAGCACACCTTGTTAGCCCCACCTTCCAAGCACATCCAGAACCTGACCTCTTCATACCACCCAACCACAGTCACTGCCACCACCAATGAGGCTGCTGGCCCCTGGCAGGAGCATCCTTGCTGGTCCCCCACCTCTGCCCTCAATATTCTCTGCACAGCAGCCAGAGGGAGATTTTACTGTTGGGAGGCAGTGATAGGACGGTTTCACAGCACAGATTCTAAAGTTAGACACCTGGATACAAGTCCTCAATCTGGAGCTCTCTGGCTGTGTTGCCTTAAGTAACTTATTTAACTTCGCTGGGCTTCAGTTTCCTCTGATAACAAAGAAACAGCTAACATTTTCCTAGCATTCATTATGAAACAGTTACTGTTTTAAGGAAGTTCTTTCCTTTTTTTTTTTTTTTTTTTTTTTGGTGTGTGTGTACCAGGGATAGAACTCAGGACCTTGTGCTTGTCAGGCAGGTGCTGCTCCAATCCCCAGCCCTTGGAAGTGCGGTGTACTAGTAACAAAGTCACTCCCTACAACTCTATATGAGCTAGCTACTACTAGCTCTCCCCATTTTACTGACGAGGAAAATGATGTTTTGAGTTTAAGGAAGCTAGGCTTATACAGCCAGGATTTAAACCCAAGCATGTTGGCTCTTTATAACTGTCCTTCCATTACATCCTCTGGCAAAGGCAATTGTTGCCACTCACAGCACAGTATTGTGGGGGTGGGGTGGGAATGTTAAATGAATTCCTGAGAGGAAGTAACTGTAACAATAGTTATCCACACAATTAGTAACAGTACCTATTCTCATCCATACTCCTGGGCTCTGGTGTTTCAATCTCTAACCAGTTTGTATTGCCAGGGAGATGGGAAGAGACATTTGGGGATTCATTTGGCTCCTGATCCCCTAAGAAACCCACTTAATTTTCCCACCTATAAAATGGGGATAAACAGGTCTATTCATCCTTTTTTTCAGGAAGGATCAGAGGAGAAAACTCCCTTTGGAAACAGATGTGGGCAGCAGGGGTGGGGAGAGTGACAAGAGGCCAAATCCCTTGAGACCTGCCCCCTCCCAGGGCATGGGTCACTCCAGACTTACGCGGATTTTCTTGTAATCACACAGGTACTCGACTTCAAAGTCATAGAGGTTCCTCTTAGAGACGCCAAGGGCAGGGCAGGAGAGCCTGGCCAGGCGGCACAGGTCCTGCAGCTGATTCCAAGAGGACTTGCAACACACACTGCAGCCTGGAACAAGGGGGCCGGAGTGAGCCATTACTGGGCAGCCTGACCAGGTCAGGGGCCAAGCGGGACCCCAAATCCTCTCTAGGCCATCCCAAGGGCAGCATAAGAGTCAGGGAAACTTAATCCACAGGTCTTCCCCAATACTGAGACCCTTCTGCAACAGGAATGTGCTACTATGAACTCCTGTGCTGTGTCAAAGGCTTCCTTTGGAGCAGTAGGCTTAAAGTAGGGTTTGCTGTGTGGATGGTCACAAAGGAATCTATTACCAGAGCCTCTAACTCCCTGTGCGCCATCCCTTAAACTGCCTGCAAACTTGCCTCAGGTTCAAGACCTACTCTCTTGGTTCTCTATTTTGCAAAAGAAAGAGCACAACCCCCCCCACCTCAGTAGGGTGTATTGCCCTGAGGGGGTTGGGGACGGGATTAAAACCTCCAGGGCACCAAACAAAAGCATAACTGGAAAGACTGGTCTTCAATCGCTTATCTGAAACTACCAGGGCCAGACATGCTTTAGAATTCAAAAATTGGGGGTATTTTACAAGTGTAGCTCTAGGTGTGCTCCCATACATTAAACCAACACCCTGACTGTGATCAGGGACAGCAAGCCATAATCAAACACATGAAGCATTCTGCAGCAAATGTACTAATTTTCCACATTAAATAGAAAGTGTAAGATATATTAATTGCATAGTCCCACTTTTTAATATCTTCGTTTGCCATGAATGGTGCCAAATTTAAGAAAAAGATTTCAGTTTTCAGGACTTATTAGATTTGGGAATTATAAATAAGGATTGTGAAATGATACACATTTCAGGAAGGCTCCTTAAATGATTTGTCTGGGCACCTTAAGCCAACAAGGTAAAAATTTTTTCCCACTGTTGCATTTTGACTTTGTCTTAGCCACATTTCTTTGAAGAATAGAGCTTGTCCAAAGGGCCATGTTCTGAATTCAGGAACACACAAACCTATATAGGTTAGTGACATCAATTCTTTTAAGTATACCCAGAATGTTTCTGAAGCTACCAAAAACTTTAAGACACGGATCAAAAAAATATGTATTTCTTATTCAAGACACATCTATCATTAATGTGCTTTAGAAGCCATTTTATCAAATCATGTCAACACTTGATTCCAGTCCACGTCCTACTGCATCTTTTAAAAATGTTCAACATTTTCTACTTCCCATTACAAAAATCAAACTTACTTAAATTCATAATGAGGTACTCTAGATGTCAACCTAAAAACAGAGGAGCTTTACAAAATTAAATCTCCCTCCCCTGTTGGGCAAGGCCCAGTGGAGCCTGAGCCCGTGCTTCCCTCTCCCTAAGATGCCTCCCTCTGCCCTTAACTTGCTTCTGAAACCCCACACATGCAGTCCCAACGTCCTAGGCTACTAGCTCTGAATGACAACAGCTGGATTCTTCTGGCCCTCAGAGTCCCTTTCACACTTGTGGAATCCACCCTCCTCGTGGCTTCACCTCACGACAGACAGAGCCACCCCTTTCCCGGCACATGGGGGAGTCCAGATCTCCCATCAGGGAGGCCCTGTCCCCCTCTTCAGGGAGAATCTTCTACTTCAAATCCTTCTCCCACCTCGGTGAGTGGCGAGACACTGCCCCTCAAGAGTCACCTGTCCACCCACTCTGAGAGGGGTCTGACCCCTTCTCTTCCTTCCCCTTCCGGCGTCTCGCGTGGACACCGAAAGGGTAACGGTCAGCAGGGGCCAAATTTTCCCGCGCGCGCAGCCTCGGTGTCCCCGCAA